ATCACGATTTCATTTTGGTTTCGATTAACTGTGCTGCTCAACATGATACAATACATTTAAATGAGTCAATGGACTTTTCTCACTTTTTCTTAAATTTGAATGTTTATTGCTGTATCAAATCAAATCATCCTCAAGGTTCAGAAACACTCTAAAGCCATAAACTCTTATGTGTTTTAAGCAGTCTTAAATTCCCTGTGGTCTTCAGTTAGTGCAAGCATTGGCAGCTTTATTTGCCTGCTTAATTTATGTGAATGCCAGTAGACGGATTGTTTGCATTCTGGGACTGAAGATAGAGCCATTGATTCCCTTTAAAGCGTGTGAGGGAATCTCAGCCCATTTGTGAGAAATAACACACTTCATGCTGTGGCTCTTGCTTGTAAATAGCTAGTTGTCATTTATTTAATATTATTACCCAAATGCTCAGTTTGTGTTTCTGTCTGCTGGGCAAGTATTGGGTTTTTAGGCAGGACGCCATTGCTGAAATCACGTCTTGTTTAAAAATGTCAAATAACAGAAGTGTTTTATGTGACAACCACACCCCAAATTAATTAAGACAGCTAATTCTTATTTCTGCACACAGAACGGCGGAATGTTGCCTTTAAACATTCCAGCCTGAGGAACGCAAGGCTATTTCTGTGGCACTTTGTTCTCGCCTTGAGTTTTATATTTGTTTTGGGAAGATTCTGCAGTGTATTGTGTTTGGTGGCTGCCGAGGATTTTTCCTCATGCAAAAATTCCTTTGTCTTACAGCAAAATGCTCCAACGACTTTGATTTCGGTGCCGTTCCAAAGCCTAGTTGGCTGCACAGGCAGCATTTTAAGGCATCATAAGCACACTTCCCACGCAAAGGCTGTTCCAAAGCGTAGGAAGCGTGACTCTGCTGATTTCTAAGATACCTTTGGCAACATCACATGTGGAAAAATGCTTTATGATGACCCCATGTGAGATGGATGACACAGTACAAGTTAATTATAAATATGCACTGCCGTTCAAAAGTTTAGGGTTGGTTAGATTTTTAGATTAGGTTTGTAATGTTTTTTAAAACTGTCTTATGCTCTGAAAGGCTTCCTTTATTGATAAAAAATACAGTAAAAACAATAATAAATTTGAAATGTTATTACAATTTAAAATAATTGATTTTCTATTTGAATATGTTTTCAAATGTAATTTATTCATGTGAAGCAAAGCTGAAATTTTTTTGTGTCACACATGATCCTTCAGAAATCATACTGATATGAAATCTAATATGCTGATTTCTTGTTTTTGTCAATGTTGAAAACAGTTTTGCTGCATAATATTTTTGTGGACATTGTGATATATCAAAAAAAATATTTTTTGATGAAAAGAAAATTCAAAAGAGCATCATTTGTTTTAAATAGATTTTTTTCTGTCATTGCTTTTGTTACTTTTGATCAATTTAATGCTTCATTGTTGAAGTATTCATTTTTGTCTTTTAAATATTTAAATAAGAAATAAATTATACTAACCCCAAACCTTTGAATGGTAGTGTGCATAATTCCTTCATTATCAGATTATTTTCTGTATGTTTTATTGATTTTTAGGCTTTGTAGAATATGACATTGGTAGCTCAGCCGCATGCTAACACCAAATTCTATTGAATCATTTGTTTTTAAGGTCATAGATTGTTCCAAATCGGTTTTGTTTCGGTTGATGCTTTCTTAGAAGGTGTCTGGCAATGTAGGCAGTAGAAAGCAAGGCAGCTCACTAGGTTTTGGAGCAGAGCCTGAGCGACTGGAACTTTTCTCCTAACCAAAACGTTTTCACACAATCATGCTATTCATTTTCAAAGCCTGTTAAAGCAAAAACGAGGTAACTCGATCCAAACAAGTTATGCATTCTTTAATAAAAGCCGTCTCACTAATAATTCACATGCGTGGCACTGTCATGTAGGCTTCTCGTAAGTCGTCATGAGGTCTCCAGATGGAAGTCCAGTGATCGGATAGGTCATTCCCCAAAAGACTTCAATCCAGTCTGGATGACGGTCAGGATTCCAGAGCGTCACATGGATCTGTTAATATTAAAATGCAATAAAGCTGATAATGAGCCTCTGGCTCTTATAATTCATTCCTTTTATTCTGCAATGACTCATTTTTGTATTTTTGAAAGGAGAGCGAAAGAAGCACAGATGCATTATGGGAGCGTTTGTGTGATTTTAATTTTACTTGCTGGTCGATGCATCTTTGTGGAGCAGTTAGTCACATTAGATTACCCCCCCCCCCCCCCTAAACAAATTTGAAGTCACACTTGCATGGTTGGGTTATTTTTAAAGCGAGGGCAATTACGTCTTGGGTATTTTTTTATTGGTAATTTTGAAATGCAGCATCGTTTGAGCATTTTTTGCCCTGTTTACAACGGACTGGTGTCTGAAACTTTATTTCATTATAGCAATAAATTCCAGAACTTTCTAAATATGTTTCCAAAAGTAAATGTTTTGGGGCTCCCATGACGTTGGTGAATTTCCAAGCCCTATAATTGCTGGATGCAGTGAGCAATTGCTGAGTGAAGGGAAAAACACTAATGCAATAAACTGCATTAACACTCAGCATCTACACAAACCACTCACTTTATATTTGAGCCCAAAGTTCCTCAGTTAAAACTGTTAAAGAACTTAAGGAAGCTACTTTGAAAGCTACAAGGTAAGGATGTTTGCGATTGAAACCAAGGACACTTAAAACAAACTTTTAACACTCTCACTATATTTATTTGTCCACTAAAAATGTCCAAGGGCTGACATTTATAAATGTTTAACAGAATATTTGTAATTTTTTAAATTTTCTTTAGAAAATCATGACCATTCCTATTATGTAAGTTGTTTAATAGCGTTCTATGGTGAAAACGACAATGAAGGAAATGTCATTTTAAACAGTTTTGGAATAAAATGTCTGATTCCTTTACCTTGTTTAGGTCAATTTCATACAGTACCTACCATTGCATACAGTAGCATACATATTTTAATAGAAATTTCCTTACAGAATTTAAGACATTGTTGTGTCCATTGAAAAAAAAACTTGATTTTATGTGTTGTAAATACAGTGAAATAATATTTTCACACTGTTTGCATATTTTTATGAAATTACATCTTGATTGGAAATGAAGCACAATAAAAAACATTATGTGAGCGAGTGATATTTACATTAATTTTTTGTTGTTTTGTATACACATGTCTCATATTTCATATCAAACATGCCCTTTGGTACACTGTAATAAAAGAAAAATCTGTATAAAAAAAATGGTTAGAAAAATAACAGTACCTTTCTTTTAACCCTAAAACAATACACAATGCAATTTATCATTTAAAATACAGATTAAACATCTGTTAAAATTAAATACCGAAAATTCCTTCACATGTACATTGGGCCGTATTTTTACAGATTTTTCTTACACAATATTTGATAAAAATTCTCCCTCTAATAAAGTTTTGGGACTAAACATTTTTGAATGTTTTTGTTTTTTAATTGTTGTGGGTTCCATATACTATTATTAACTGATAATTATGATGATGTTTTAGATTTTTTTTCTTTTGTTTTTAATACAGTACAGCAGAAATAACACTATGAAAATGGTTAATATTGACTTTGTTAATAGCAAGCAGTTCAAAACAATATTATAACAAAATTATGACTTTACAAAAACACATTAAGAAATAAAATGAAATAAATATGAAAAGATATGATAAATAAAACTGTATATATATATTTTTTTTTTAATTTTCACACACTGAAAAAAGCAATCACAGATTTTTTTTTTTCTAACTTTAACTTTAAATGTTTTGTTTGTGCCTTTAAAATTACTCCTACTATCCTTAATTAGGCTTATTATTTTGTGGTTTAGGCCCAAAATAATAATTTTAAGCACAAAATATTGTTTTCTGCAAATCTAATTGTTGCAAGTGTAATTGTTTATTTTTATTATTATTTATTCATAGGTGTACATTCACCACATGATATAATTAAAGGTGCAGTAGGAGATCTTGGAAAATACTGGAAAACTTTAGCCTGATAGCACTGAAAGCGAACGTCCCACCCTCCCTGCAATCACCGTCCAAAGCCACGCCCCCTGAATGCATTTACGCTCAGAGACCAGAATACCAGAGACAACATTACAATAGGCTACATCAGCGGTTCCCAATTCCAGTCCTCGCGCCCTCCTGCTCTGCACATTTCATATGTATCTCTTATCACGTGCGACGTTTGTTCTATTTGACTGTGAGAGCGCTGGGAAGTGTACATCACCGGATATTCCGCCATGATTCCAGTTCGAAGCGAGCGTATATGTTCCATACAAAGGGCCTTAAAGTATGCGAGACGTGAATTTAAATAGTATTTATTTACAGAGGTATATTATGTCACACTTCACACATCTCTAGTAAGTTCCGTCTGTGTGTGAAGACGCTGCGCAGCGCAAATCCGTGAATGAATGTTCCGAAGTGAAGTAAACTTCAACGGATTTCCCCTGATTCCCTTGCGCGATGACTGGAATCATGTGTCATTCACCGGTGAGAAAACTTTATAGTACAGTTAGTAAAAGTACTACAATACCATGAAGGAAGATTGGCTTGTTGATGTTTGTCTGCCATTCTCACTCTCTCTGTACAGCATGCGTGAACGAGCTGATGACATATCCTGTCTGCGCGAACAGGGTGCGCAGAGGTATGCAAATACACATGTTGACAGGCACGTAGGAAAGCCAATTAAAACTCTCGGACCGAGTGTTTTGATTGGACAAACATTTCTTGGTCCTACGCCTTCCACAGAATATATAAATACAGATAAATACATTTAGACCACTTAACTTAATGATTGCTATCCCAATGTGAAGAGACTTTCAACCAGCATAACAAAAATTCTATTACCTATTGCACCTTTAAGATGTGTGTGTGGATACATTTGTGAATGCATTTTGCTAAGTATTTGAAAATCCTGTAAATCAGGGACATTTCTGGGGACAGCTCCAGTCGGGGACAAAACTCCAAATACCAGGACTGTCCCCAGAAAACGGGAATCTGGTCATCCTGTTTTATCAAGTATGTTTATATTTTAAGGAATCCCATTTTCACCCTTGAGCAAGACACTTGCATGCAAAATGTACAAAAAAAAAGTCATTATTTACTAATTTGTTGTTCCAAACCAGTTCCGAATATATATGTCTGAACATCCTCAAAAAATCCTTATGGAAAAGCATGAGGGTGAGCAAATAATGACAGAATTTTCAATTTTGGGAGAACTGTTTCTTTGCTCCGGGGGATTATCCTTGTAATGAGTCTCTTTGTGTAAGAAATCTAAATAAAGAATTAAAAAAGTAGAGATACAGCGTAACTGGAGAGATTTCCTGTATTCCTCCCATTCTCTCCATTACCCCCGTTCCGCTTGCTTTTACAGAACACTTTCAATCCAACCATAACTGAAAGCACTCAGGCTGTTCTCTGTTGTGGTTTTCTGTTTACTGAGCTGGAAATTGGTGGGTTTTCTTTTTTCAGCCGTACACTGGGAAGCCACAAATGTTTTTTTATGGAGAGAGTTCGAACACATTAAGCGTGTTGCAGTGTGTGTGTGTGTGTTTGCAACTCATTTACCCTCAAATGTAATGACTGTATTTATGTGCACTTCCATATCTCATATCATCAGTGGATATTGACATGAACTGTGAGGGATGCTGTTCTTCTGATCTGTGTGAAACACTGCATTGCATGTTGAATTTAGTGAGTGACCTGCCAGTTATCGTCTAGGAAATAAATGCAGTTGTTCTGCAGATTAATCCAATTTTATATTTAATTCCATGCACTGTATTATGTGATGCTTTAATGCCTTTCTGGTTTGTGATTCTTCTTCCACAGCCATAAAAACGGTGATCGAAGTGCCGATGGGTAGCAGAGGCCTCAGAATCACAGCCAAGGGATCAGACATGATTGGTGAGATTATGCATATGAACTTAATACAAAGATCTGTTGTGTTTCAAAGCTTCTGGGTCCTTGACTTGACATAAAACTTTGATGAATGAAGTGTTGGCTTATTCTGGCAGTAAGAAGCCATATAAGACTAGTCAGGAAGGGTTAAGACTCAAAAGGATTTTCAGCAAATACACATGTTGACAGGCACGTAGGAAAGCCAATTAAAACTCTCGGACCGAGTGTTTTGATTGGACAAACATTTCTTGGTCCTACGCCTTCCACAGAATATATAAATACAGATAAATACATTTAGACCACTTAACTTAATGATTGCTATCCCAATGTGAAGAGACTTTCAACCAGCATAACAAAAATTCTATTACCTATTGCACCTTTAAGATGTGTGTGTGGATACATTTGTGAATGCATTTTGCTAAGTATTTGAAAATCCTGTAAATCAGGGACATTTCTGGGGACAGCTCCAGTCGGGGACAAAACTCCAAATACCAGGACTGTCCCCAGAAAACGGGAATCTGGTCATCCTGTTTTATCAAGTATGTTTATATTTTAAGGAATCCCATTTTCACCCTTGAGCAAGACACTTGCATGCAAAATGTACAAAAAAAAAGTCATTATTTACTAATTTGTTGTTCCAAACCAGTTCCGAATATATATGTCTGAACATCCTCAAAAAATCCTTATGGAAAAGCATGAGGGTGAGCAAATAATGACAGAATTTTCAATTTTGGGAGAACTGTTTCTTTGCTCCGGGGGATTATCCTTGTAATGAGTCTCTTTGTGTAAGAAATCTAAATAAAGAATTAAAAAAGTAGAGATACAGCGTAACTGGAGAGATTTCCTGTATTCCTCCCATTCTCTCCATTACCCCCGTTCCGCTTGCTTTTACAGAACACTTTCAATCCAACCATAACTGAAAGCACTCAGGCTGTTCTCTGTTGTGGTTTTCTGTTTACTGAGCTGGAAATTGGTGGGTTTTCTTTTTTCAGCCGTACACTGGGAAGCCACAAATGTTTTTTTATGGAGAGAGTTCGAACACATTAAGCGTGTTGCAGTGTGTGTGTGTGTGTGTTTGCAACTCATTTACCCTCAAATGTAATGACTGTATTTATGTGCACTTCCATATCTCATATCATCAGTGGATATTGACATGAACTGTGAGGGATGCTGTTCTTCTGATCTGTGTGAAACACTGCATTGCATGTTGAATTTAGTGAGTGACCTGCCAGTTATCGTCTAGGAAATAAATGCAGTTGTTCTGCAGATTAATCCAATTTTATATTTAATTCCATGCACTGTATTATGTGATGCTTTAATGCCTTTCTGGTTTGTGATTCTTCTTCCACAGCCATAAAAACGGTGATCGAAGTGCCGATGGGTAGCAGAGGCCTCAGAATCACAGCCAAGGGATCAGACATGATTGGTGAGATTATGCATATGAACTTAATACAAAGATCTGTTGTGTTTCAAAGCTTCTGGGTCCTTGACTTGACATAAAACTTTGATGAATGAAGTGTTGGCTTATTCTGGCAGTAAGAAGCCATATAAGACTAGTCAGGAAGGGTTAAGACTCAAAAGGATTTTCAACATTATCACTATGAATTAATCCAGTTTTCTGCCACAGGACTGAGGCCTTAGAGTGTAGTTATAACATATATAATAGTTATATCACAGCATTTTGAGAATTAGTGAGATGATATATTCAGCTATCAAAGAGATTTTCCACACTCTCCCAGAGAGATTTTCCACAGTCTGAAAGTTAACACTATTGGGATGAATCTCTCAGTTTTTCCTGGTTTTATGTCAACCTAAAATCAACTAAAATACAATAAGGTATTATATCTAGCATACAGAAAGTGAAACTTATTTATGTATTTGAAAAGCTTTGCGAGTCATTCGTTATATGGGAATATATTATATAGGACTTCATTGTAAATAATATTTATAGGATAACTTTAATTTATATTAACGTTGTCATAAAGCAAGGCCAGACACAACGGGTAAGTGAAAGACAGGATGGTTTATTGATACAAGATGTGGATGAGTGGAATGGGTTAGGTTAAGGCAGGAGAGTGTCAACAGTGAAGGATTCCAGGGTTCTTATCTGAGTTCTGAGGGTGAGTGTCTGATGGCAGTTTTGTGGGAGATCGTGGAAAAGCTTCCAAGGAGACGTTGGAGGATCGCGGGAGAACCAGAAGGTAAGTCTTTCTAGGAGAATATCGTATAGAGAATCCAGAACAGTCCATAGGAGTGAACGGTAGACCGGACAGTGAGTGACTGTTGTAGGTGATGTGTGTGTATTTGTAGTGTGGCTTGATTGGTGACAGTAGGTGTGGGTGTTTAGAATTCAGGTGACTATGATCGGGTGATTATCCTGGCTGGTGACTGCAGTGACTGTGATGAATCCCTGACAAATGTTGAGTTATATTTACCATAAATAAATTCTAAAAATGTATTAATTAATTTCAACATAAATTTAACAGAGTCAGCTTAATATTTATGTAAAAATAGTATTTATTTATTAAAATTTTCATGAGAAATATCCCCCAAATGTTTTTTTAAATGGCTTTGTGACATTCTTTCACATTTCAACAGTTCTTTATTTAGGAATATAATGTATTTGATTATATAGGACGTGGAATCGTGTTAATTTTATAGGAAATGTTCTTGATTGTATGGAATAGCTTTCACTGCATATTTACACAAAATCAACCCTCAATGAAAGTCTGACCTCTCACACTGTGATGGCAGTTATCTTGAGTATTTTCCCCATGTTTTTTCCATAACATTTGGGGGTTTTCAATTTGTAACATCTTTGCTCCTCTCAGTAAGTTGTCACAGGCCATCAGAAGCATCTGAGACTGAATTTCCAAAGAACTATTCCAACATCTGAAATATAGTCTGAAATTTTACAATACTTCCACAGTGACACGGCCAAACTGTATTTGACATGGTCGCCTGGTGTAGTAGCACAGTGTGGGAATGCATATGGATTTTCTATCGTTATATCTAGCCTGAAAGACCAAAAAAAGAGATTTCCTATTACCAGAGTGGGACTGGCAAATGCTAAGAGGTTTGAGGGAACTTTAGGATAGAGCAGAAGAATGAAGTGTTCATGCAGGCTAATTTGTGGTGGCTGAGAGCCCGGTACGATGGAGACGGGGCCAGTAATCTTGCAGATTTCCAAAACGGACACACAGAGTATGCTGAAGTCCAATCCCAGTGATCCGTTCCACATCCGACGGACCCACACTCACACATGTACACACTTCCGTTCTGTGGAAAACCACTATTTTTCCCTGTACACATGCTGATATCTAAACCCTTTAACCTGTGCATAACTCCTTTTTAGTTGCAAACTTAACATCCTTAACATCCATCAAGAACTACAGGGCATTTAGTGGATGTTTGACTTGTCAGATGTTTTAAAAATGGGGTTTGAGTGACCTGAATATTACTTAAACTATCCCAAAGCTCAAGTAATGAATTAGACATTTTTCCATACATAAAATGTTAAAAAATTATAAAAATAAAGAAAACGAATACGTATAATCCAAAATCTAACAGCCAAGTTTATAAACGTGCCCTATAGTTTTTTTTCATTGAGATGTTTTAGATATTATAGCTCTTTTATAATGTGCCAATAATTGCCATTGTTTATTGTTTCAGGCCGTAAAATATCAAATCGCCATCCGCTGTTAAAAATATTCAATGTGATCTTAACAATTTCAAATATAAATAAATGTCTTTCCGTTGTTTGCAAATTGATACACTGTTTTGGAAATAATTGCGGGTCCTTCATGTAAATAGAGCAAGAGAACAACGTGTTAGCGGTAAGGGAAAATCAAACAACTGGTCAAAGCGGCTAGCGGCAGCTGAATATAATTATGCCTTCTTTTTTGAAACAGCTCACAAAGAGATTCAGTTCCCACATTGTCATTCTGCTCTTCTTGAGGGCGTCTTGTGATAAAAATTGGCAGTTAACATTTATTTGCTCAGACGAACAGATTGGATGATGGTTTTTCTGTGATGTGGCATCTTACAGATTAGAATGGCTGGGTTGAGAACTTTAATGTAGGAGTGAGAGATCCAATGATTAAAACAAGGATTTTAACTTTTAGTTTTTGTTTTACTTTATTTCAAAGTTGGACACAAAGTTCTTGTGAAATGCAATTTGCAAACAAGAAAAAGAAAATTGGAAAGAAAAGCTTCAGGGTGGACATTTATTGGATCAAAGTAGGCATTACATACCAAAATGGGTAAGATGGATGGATGGATGGGTGATACACACTATAAATGAATGGATGGGTGGGTGGGTGTGTCTATGGACACATACGATGGATGGATTTATGGATGATACATACTATGGATGGATGGATAGAGACATACGATGGATGGATGGATGAATGGATACATATGATGGATGATAGGATGGATGGATATATACGATGGATGGATGATACATACTATGGATGGATGCGTGGATGAATCCATACTATGGAGGGATGGAAACATGATGGGTGATAGGATGGATGGATAAATGGATGGATGATACATACTATGGATGGGTGGATGGATGGGCCATACCTTTTTACTCACAATTTGTACAGTGTCCCAACTTTTTTGGAATTGGGTTTGTATATATAATAATTATAATGTTATGTATATGGTCTAATTTATATTATTACAATGTTAATAATCAGTGTTGGGTGTAATGCATTATTAAGGGATTACTCCTAATTTTTCTGTAGTGTAATTACTGTTAATGCTGATGTAATTGCATTAAATACAGTGTAGACTATAGAAAAAGTCTATATAAAACAATAGTGTATTTAACGTCAAGATTTAACATCTAATGTTAATATTTATGTTTTTAATAGGCCTACTTAGTGCTTTTAAAAACTTTGGTCAGTTCAAGGGTAGGTTATGCAATTTTATGTTATTTATTTAAAATAAGTAAAAGAGCAGTTTCATGTCTACTTGTATTGTTCAACTGGTCGAGGTTGATATGGGATTTAGAAAGTAATCATATTTGATACATCAAGCTATTATGGCTCATACAATGATATAGGAGATTATGAAGCTCCTTTTATAACTGTAAAGCAGACTACTGTACTTACATAAAATTCAATAATATGTCTTAGTAAGATGATATTTAAATAAGTAGGGATAAAACATATAATGCAGTGCAATGATGACTGAGAGATGAACAAATAAACATTCCTTAAAAGTCTGATGGATCTTTTTTTATATTTACATTTACACGATTTTTCTAATTAAAAAAAATAATAATAAATCAAGTAAACCTAAGTTGCTTCAGTCCAGTAAGTGTTCATCTTGAAATATTACAAAAAATAAAAAAAAGTTAAGAAAGTTATTCTAATGTTTACTTTATAAAAATCATTGAAGATTTTACACATGAACCACAACCTGAAGGTGAACATTTTTCAATTACTCTAAAAGGTTTTTTACTTGCTAAAAAATTATAAACTATCAATCAGCTGACAGATGTCATATATTATTTAATTTATAATAGGTAGATTAAATGATTTTTAATGATTTGGCATAGTCACAAGCCATCTTAAACCTGCACTGAATACTAATGATTGTGAAAGTTTCATGCAAACTCAGTTTGAAGTTTCATGGTGAGTTTAAAGCAGCAGAGAGAATCAGTGTTTACTCTCCTTGTAAAACTGTAAACACAGAACAATGTGATTGTAATCATGTTAGACTTTCTCATCTCGCGACCTGAAGATTCTTGATTAATCTTGACACTATGGCTTACATAATATTACATAACTATGGCTTACATAATAATATTACATATTATGGCTTAATACTATGGTGATACAAGATGGCGCCGATGATGATGGCGGCCTCTTTGGCGTGCTCTGCAGTTGTTTTTGTGTTTTTGTTAGTTTGTCCTGTCTTTAGTTATATCCCTGCAATCAGTTTCACCAGAGATTAATTGCTGGACATTCGGCACTACGCATCACCCGATAAATTACCAGTTTTCGACTATTCTGATGTTTTGCTGGACATAGTAGTTGGCGGAGCAGCTGCGCTGATCAAGCGCTTCAGGATGCGCAGACGGGGGAAGCGAGCCGGCGCCCTCGTGAAGCTCAGGCAGCACGGATTTTGAACGCCGTTGTCTTGTATAAACAGGCCAAATACACACTGGAAAAGGAGATCAGAGTGGCAAAGAGGAATTAATTTGAAAAACTAAGGACTCAGTTCACTTCCAGCGACTCAGGATCAGTGTGGAAAAGTCTGAAAGAGATCACAACTACAAGACACCATCCCCCAGCACTGTGGAGAATCAACAACTGGCAGACGATCTGAATGAGTTCTACTGCAGGTTTGAACACCCCACACCCGCCCTGAACACCTCTCCACACAACCATTCCCACCTCCTGCAACCCCCCTCTCCCCCACACCTGCACCTCAAATCAGTGAAGTCTTCCGGAAGCAGAAAAGTAAAAAAGCACCAGGCCCAGATTGTGTTACTCCAGTCTCTCTGAAATCCTGTGCTGACCAGCTGGCCCCCATCTTCACACAGCTCTTCAACAGATGACTGGAGCTGTGCGAAGTCCCTTCAAAGAAATCCAAAATTACAGGACTAAATGACTACAGGCCTGTGGCTCTAACGTCTGTCGTCATGAAATCATTTGAAAAACTGGTGCTGGCCCACCTGAAGGACATTACTGGACCCTTGCTGGATCCTCTTCAGTTTGCCTACAGAGCAAACAGGTCTGTGGACGATGCAGTCAACATGGGACTGCATTATGTTCTGCAGCATCTAGACAGACCAGGGACTTATGTGAGGATCCTGTTTGTGGACTTCAGCTCGGCTTTTAACACCATCATCCCATCACTCCTCCTGCCCAAACTAACTCAGCTCTCCATGCCCATCTCCGTCTGACAGTGGATCAACAGCTTCCTGACAGACTCGCATCCAGCACCCGTATAATCAGCACTGGAGCTCCTCAGGGTTGTGTTCTCTCTCCACTGCTCTTCTCCCTCTACACCAATGACTGCACATCTAAAGACCCCTCTGTCAAGCTCCTTATTGCAGCAGCATGAAAACAGTATTTAACTAATCATCACAGCTCCAAAAAGGATATTCAGTGGCAGATGATGCATGCTGCGTTTTCTATGGAAATCATGACACGAGTTGGACTGTGGCCCCTTGAGTAAATTTGCTGCCTAATATACATGTCAAAATCATTTGGTTTTTAAAAATGAATGGGCTTTTATCTGATAATGCTTCTCATTTTTTTGTGATGTGATTATGAATATGACTATTAAAAGTAAACCATCAAACACATTATAAGTGAATTTGGGTTCTCCTCAGCTGAAGTATGCTGGCCCTAAAGACACAGTGATGCAGTTCATGTTTTACCAGCCCATCCGCTACCAGTGGAGGGAAACTGACTTCTTCCCCTGCTCCGTCACCTGTGGAGGGGGTAAGTGTTATAGATTGATTAAATTCCCAGTTATTTGAATGGTTTGAATTCACTCGTTCAGCACACCTACAAGACAAAACTTTAAAATTTGGGATATTACTGTCCGATACCGATAAGCCAATAATTATTTTCAGATTATGGCTGATAACTGATTGCAAAAGTTAAAATACTTTACTATTTTGTCTAAATAAATGAAAAATAAAACACTAAAACCTGAAATCAGTCATTTTGAATGAGACAAGTGAATTTAGTCATCACAAAATGTATTGATATTTATTTGCTAAAGAGTACATGTACAGTAACGGAGTTGTTAATGGGTTAGTGTTTTTAAAAATGAACTGTTAGATGAGGGGAAATATATAATCTAAATGTAAAAATAGGGGAAATTAACTGTACAATAAAATATCTAATTGATATCAGTTGAAATATATCCAGTATCAACCAATGTCAATACCGATAAATGTAAAAATCTAATATCTGCTTTAATATTGGCAGATAATTGATTTTGAAACCATCTATCATGAATTAATATGAGTCATGCATGCATTATCATACATACTATTTAAAATGCTGCCTTGTCATAAATTATAAATGTTTTTAGATAAAATAACTTCTAAAAGTTGTTGGATGTGTCTTTGGATAATATTAATTTATAATAAGCTGACTGTTAGTTTTGATGCTTGATGGACTTTTTCTTCCCTGAAGGATATCAGCTTTAAATGTAAAAATAAGTTAAATCAGCAAGTACAAATACATATTCAATATCTGCTGCTATATATCCAGCTGATATACTGTATATCGACTAATGCAAATACAGATTTAAAAAAAATGTTTTTTTAAATTGATAATGGATTTGGTACCTGTCGTGCATTAATATATGATACATGCATGCATTAGCATGCATGATACTTAAAATTCTGCCTATATAGGGTCCATTTGTCATAAGCAGTAACTTTTTAGGTTCTGAAAGTTGTTGGACACATTTTTGGCTAATATTGATTTCTGAGAAACATTTGACTATTAGTGTTGATGCTTAATGGTGCTTTGTGTCATCCCTGAAGGTTATCAGCTGAATTCGGCTGATTGCATGGACATTCGTTACAACAAATCGGTTGCGGAGCACCTTTGCCACAGCTTCCCAGAGAACACCAAACCCACACCCAAACTCAAGGAGTGCAACATGGATCCCTGCCTCGAAAGGCTGGTTCTGTCTTATTGACCCTCCATGACTAAACACAATGAATGAAGAATTAATCTCAATAAACCAGAGAGTGTCTGTGCATGAGACTTCCTGTTCATCAACTTATGATAGTGTGGATAATGGCTTGAAGGCTAATGGTGTTTGTTTCACTGCAGTGATGGCTTCAAGGAAGTGATGCCCTACGACCAGTACCAGCCTCTACCACGGTATGAAGTTATTTATTGTACAGCACACTTGCTGCTCACATACTCATGGAGATCAGTGTTGCTCACTGACAGAATTTAACATCATTCATCAGGACCAACTTTGAATGTTAATTTGTCAAGTCTACAAGCTCAGAACATAGTTTTAATACTGGACAGTTTGATGAAAGAGTTATCTATTTAAATGTAATAATTTAAATACTTTGATGGATGCACATCATTTAAAGGTTTGAGGTCAGTAAGGTTATTTTTTTCACGTTTTGTTATGTTGCTGCCTTATGTTAAACTGCTTTCCACATCAATCTACACTCCATACACCATATTAACAAAGCAAAAACAGAATTTTTCTTCTACTCAAACTGAAATAAATATATTGCATAAGTATTCATACCCTTAACTAAATATTTAGCTGAAGTGCCTTTAAGCCTCAAACCTTTTTGAGTATAATGCGACAAACTTTGCTAATCAGCATTTGGCAATTATCTGCCCTTCCTCTCCTCACCTCTTCACCTCTCAAGCTCTGTCAGGTTGGATGGGGGCAGACGCACTATTTCAGGTTTCTCCAGAATTATTTGATTGGGTTCAAGCTCAGGCTTTGGCTGGGCCACTCAAGGACATTCACAGAGTTGTCTATAAGCCACTCTTGCTGTGTGCTAAGGGTCATTGTCCTGTTGGAAGGTGAACCTTCTGCCCTATCTGAGGTTCTGAATGCTCTGGACTGGGTTTTCATTAAGGCTATCTCTATATTTTGGTGCCTTGAGCATTCCTTCGGGAGAGTCCCTCGGCCCCTGCCGCTGAAAAACAGCTCCACAGGATGAGGCTGCTACCAGCACACTTTACTTTTGGGATGGTACTCTGCAGGTGATGAGCAGAGCTGGTTTCCTTCAAACATGATGCTTGAAATTGAGGTTCATCAGACCAGAGAATATTATTTCTCACAGTCTGAGGGTCCTTTAGGTGCTTTTTTGTAAATTCCAAGTGTGTTTTCATGTGTTTTCACTGAGGAGAGGATTGAGTTTGACCACACCACCATAAAGACCGGATCGGTGGAGTGTTGCAGTGATGTTTGTCCTTCTGTAGGTTTCTCCTGTCTCCACATATGATCATGGAGCTCAAGTAGAGACTTCAGACTTCAGACTTCTTCTATTAAGGGTAACAGAGACTACATGCTTCTGTGTTCATTTTTTTTTCTGAACTCTTCCACAGATGTGTGGCTTGACGCAAACCTGTTTCCGAGCTCTACAGGCCGTTTTTTTTTTTACCTCAGGGCTTGGTTTTTGCTCTGATATGCATAATCAGCTGTTAGATATTTTATTAAGATGTTTGTGCCTTTCCAAATCATACCCATTCAATTGAATTTGCCACAGGTTAACGTCACTTGAAGTGTAGTGACATCTACAAGCAATATGAATGCTCCTGAGCTAAATTTCAACTGTCCCAGAAATGAATACTTATGCAATGGAATTATTTAAGTTTTTTATTTTTAATAAATTTGCAAAGATGTTAAAAACCTGTTTTTTATGGTGTATGGATTGTAGATTGATGTGGAAAAAAAGTAATTTAAAGCAGTTTAACATAAGGCAGCAACATAACAAAACGCGAAAAATGAATACTTTTGTAAGGCACTGTACAGTATATATATATATTATTTCAGTTAACGTTTATTTTATTTCAAAATGTCCTGAAAAAATGGTTTGCACAAAAATGCTAAGCAACACAACTGTTTTTAACATTGATAATAATCAGAAATATGTCTTGAGCAGCAAATCAGCATATTAGAATGATTTCTGAACGATCATGTGACAATATTTCACAATAATTCTGTTTTTAGTCTTGTTGACACTTTTACATTATTACACCATATTTCATAACATAAAGTTACTACTTATCTAGATTACTAATATAAGTTACTACTTATCTACTAAATATGACTTGTGTAATATTGCTGCAGGTGGGAGCAGAACCCGTGGACGTCGTGTTCGGTGTCGTGTGGAGGAGGCTCTCAGGAGAGAAGCGTGGTGTGTGTCGAGGAGGACATCCACGGGCAGATCGTGCAGGTGGAGGACTGGAAGTGCGCACACTCCCCTCGACCAATCAGCAAAGAGAGCTGCAACACCTTTGAGTGTCCGCAGTGGATGGCCATGGAATGGTCTCAGGTAAGTGACCTTTACTGAACTCTTCTTCCATTTCTGATGACCATTGACCATCTATAGCTCTGTTCTACAAACTAATAAGCTGTTTCTGTGTCCTAACCTAAATAAAATCATGTGAGTGACTGATTTGAAACACTTTTCATAGACAGCAGCTCTGTTCATGATGAACTGAATGAGATTTAATGCTCAAAGCTGATTCCAGCATATAGCATTTTGTCACGTTTATGATCTGTTATGGTGTAGATTTTCCTGTATTTCTGTTCTACCTTCTTTGACCTAGTTTCCCTTAGTCCCCTTGATTTGTTCATTAGTTTCCACCTGTGTTCATTAATCATCTTATTAGTCCATCGTTTGGTTTAGTATTTATAGCCCTGCCTTTCCTTAGTTTCTTTGTCCTGTCTCCATCGTTGAAAGTGGTTGTTTTCTCCATTTCTCCCTCGTGGATTTATTAAAGACTTTGTTAGTTTGAGTATCTGCCTCCTTCATACTCCTTCGAGCTCCTTTCCCCATCAACCCGTGATAGAAGACGGGACAGACAAAATAGTAAGCGGCGCCCCTTCTCCCCGTTTTTTATTTTTCGTTTGTTGAAAGTTTTTCCCCCGCGATCATGGAAATTGCTGCTTATTTCGCCGGCTTAGCCACGGCGACGGCTTTGGACGACGCCACGCTCAACTCACTGTTCTGGATCGGGGCTAATTACTATCACCCTGTGGACCTCCCAGACACCACTGGACTAAGCTGGAGGGAAGGGATCCTCCGGTGTCTGGAGAGCGTTCGGCTGCAATCCAGAACCAGCTCGCCGTCAAGCCCGCCAGCCTCTCCTACGTCAAGCCGCTGACTCAGCGCTCTTGGACATGGTGCTACCTCCAGAGTTCACGGCTCCGATCCTCACCCCAGAATCCGCTCCAGAAAGTTCTCCTTCGTCTCCGCTGGTCCCGTCCAGCTCTCCATCGTCTCCTGAGTCTCCTTCACCTCCGCTGGTCCCGTCCAACCCTCCTTCGTCTCCAGAGTGCCCCCCAGAGCCGGCTCCTTGAAAGCGCCCGCCAGAGTGCCCTCCAGTGCTCGCTCCTCCAGATCACCCCCCCAGGATTCCTAGTTTTCCCCAAGAAAATTGGGGGTTGGGGGGGGGGGGAGGTGCAATCCAGAACCAGCTCGCCGTCAAGCCCGCCAGCCTCTCCTACGTCAAGCCGCTGACTCAGCGCTCTTGGACATGGTGCTACCTCCAGAGTTCACGGCTCCGATCCTCACCCCAGAATCCGCTCCAGAAAGTTCTCCTTCGTCTCCGCTGGTCCCGTCCAGCTCTCCTGAGTCTCCTGAGTCTCCTACACCTCCACTGGCCCGTCCAGCCCTCCTTCATCTCCTGAGTCCCCCGAGTTAGCCAGCCCTGCTCCTCCAGAGTGCCCCCCAGCGACCCGCTCCTCCAGAGTGCCCCCCAGCGCCCGCTCCTCCAGAGTGCCCCCCAGCGCCCGCTACTCCAGAGCGCCCTCAAGTGCCCGCTCCTCCAGAATGTCCCCCAGAAGAAAATTTTGGTGGGGGGCCATATGCCCGTGGCGGCCGAGCCAGCTAAGGTCACGGAGGATCCGCATTGGCCTCCTGAATTGTCTGATCCACCATGGCCCTCTGTGTTCCCTACTCTGCCATGGCTCCCCGAGCTGCCTGCTCTGCCCTGGAGGCCTTCCTTGTCTCCGCCCTGTTCCTGCCCTGCACCAGCCTCCAGGACGCCCCCCCCTCCCCGTTGCAACTGTTATGGCGCAGGACG